CACACTGCTGCTCAGGTGCTGCTTTGGGCTTTTTTTTTTTTTGGCAGCACAAAGCAAAAGCCCAGCCCAGCCCGATCCAGGAGCTTTTTGCAAAGGGGCTTTTTGGAGCAAGATGACGGTGAAGGTCAGCTGGGGTGGTGGAGCACAGGATGGTAAGGGGCCAAGAGGGCATAGATGGGGGGGTGATAGATGGATAGGGGAGTTGAAAAGCCCCTGTGGTCATAAGTGCAGGCGGGCTGCTGAGCACCCAAATTTTGATCATGTGACCGTGGGAGTGCTGCAAGGGCTGTAACTTTGAGCGCCAGTCGTCACTTTTTTCAGCCTGTTTGTAACTTTGGTCATAAGTCGAGGACTACCTGTGCATACATACATATTTGTCCCTCCAAGTCCTTTCTTGACTCCTGGCAACTACATGCACAAGTCCGTGTAGTTTTCTAGGTAACATTTTCCATCTACTTCAAGTGAACTAAATCCAGCTGGGATTAGATGGTTTATGTGCAGTGAAGATATGTAGTGTAGCTTTAAGTTTCCTTAACTGTACACCTCCCATGGGGAAATAATATTGGGGAAATACATTTTAAAACAGGCTTTTAGATAAGCATTCACATATTTTTTGCAGTGTGTGAAATGTGTCCCAATGTGTGTTTTGCTTAATTAAACCAGGGAGGTTTTAATTGTTTTGATAATGAGCTCTGTAGGAACATGATTTTTCCTAATTTCTTTTCCAGCTATATTAAATCTTCACATGACAGTACTATAAAATGAACGTGTATAAAAGCCTGCTCTTGAGAAGATACAACTTCACAACAAAGCCTCAACATTTGTGATATATTTAACTTCACTGAGCTCTGAATCTGTTGTTTTCTATTATGCTTGATAGGGGCCCTGCAACATTTCATTCCCTCCCATTCGTATATTGGGATTAATGTTAATACATGTTAAAATTTTCTTTTTACATTTTGGTAACAAGTTATCATTGGATTTGGTTGGTTTTGGCTTGCATATGCCCCTTGGGTTCAGGCTTGGTATAGGTGACCCTAGCTAAACCTGGGGAAAAATCCCCTTTGTACATTTGTTATGTATACTGAGATCAAATGAAGGAAACAGAAGCATTTCTACCTCTTTAGTGTATGCAAGCATGACTATTGGAAGTAGTATTTTGACCATCCTCCAAAAATAATGTGTAAGTGAAGTGTATCATTTGTGCATCCAAGAACATTTACTAGAATGAGTTAGCAGACAGGGTGGAAAGTATGTGCTGAAAGGGGATCCAGAAGACGAATCATAATCACTTCTTGGCTATGAGACTTGTTGGCAAGGCAGAGGCAAGTCTAGCCTTCTTGGAAGAATGAGAAAAGAATGCAGCGAGATGGCTCATTTATCAGTAATTCATTCCTTGAACCAGTAGCCTGCATCAATTAAAAGTTAATTGCAACAAAAGCTTTCTTCTGGTTTTAAAAAAATCAGTTTCAGAATTGGAGAGAGACCCTTGATATAAAGCTTTGTCTTAGTTTGGAATCCACTTTGGATTATGATTAGACACCATTGTCAGTTTTTGAGAGTTAAATTGCAATGGCTTCCTACCATACCAACTTGGCTGGAGGATGGGGCCAATAATAGCAATTTGTGTTACTTCCTTATTGCAGGGATTGGCTCTTATGGGACACTCAACATGGTGGTTTCTACTCTTCTATTTCTCTGCTGGAGGAGCATTGCCCAGCTCATGATTTTGAAGTCAGCTGAAGTGAAATGATAGCAATTCAGATTCAACTCTTTTTAAAGAAGAGAATATATGTGGCCCAGGGCTGAACTGTGGAGTCCTTGGTGCTCTCTGAGCTTGGTTGTTTGATTGCAGATGTTTCATTACCTGACTAGGGTAATGAAAGTGCTAGCACTGATGATGTTACATAGTTGGGTAATGAAATGTCTGCAATCAAACAACCAAGCTCAGAGAGCACCAGGGACTCCACAAACTCTTTTATGGGAGATTTGGGCATGGAAATAACCAGAGTCAACCAATGTCCCTCTACTCCCAGCCTTCCTATAATGATAAGAATGTCAGCAGCACAACTTTAGTGACTGAATGTGTTGCAACTTCTCAGTGGCCTTCCCTGTCATCCTGGGGAATTGGGAGAAAGAAAGGGGTGGGACTAAAGAAGGCATTCCCATTTCCTCTCCAAAATTGTCATTTTTAATGTAGACAAGCCCCAGTCTTTGCAACAGAGAGGTGCATGTAGACAGGACTGCAGTGTACATGAAACACTTGAAAATAGCCTTGTTGGTCAAGCAGGACATAAGCTTTGGTCACCTCTCTTCCTGCTGTTACCACACCCTGCCCTAGGAAGGCGTTATGCCTCATAAGGACTGAGAACACCCACTCCTACTGCCCCTGGAAATGAATACCCCAAAGACTTGCATAGTTGAGACAATTTCCAGGTAACTGGGTCGACACTCCAGTTTGTTTAATGATATGTAGTCAACCTATGACTAAGTGCTGTTAGACTGAATATGGCTCAGTATTTTGCAGGGTAAGCATTTTTATTTGGATATTTGTTTCACAGAGGTTAAAAATCAAGCTGGTAGTGATATTAATGCTATAATTTAACTTGCTTGGTGCATATTTTCCTTTGAAATTACAGCAATGAACAATTACAATCAGAACTGTTTTGCATATGTGTAGGTAAGGGATCATTGCTTCCCTTGTGTTATAATCTTGATGACCACAGTCCTTATTTGAGGAAATCTTCTATGGGTTTTGGGCGCAGGGAGAAACAGCTTTAGTAAAGACTATGGCAGGGAAGAAAATTAAATCATCCATATTCTGTAATTTGAACCCTGATTATCTTCCATTAGTTAAAAGATAATAACCTAGACATCAAAACTAACCCTATAATCGTAAAATGTCAGAATGGACTTGTGCATAAACCTCTCTGTAAGATATACAAGTTGCCATTTGATATTTGTTTTTGCAAGACAACCCAATTTGATAGAAGGGATAGCAGACACTGAAATAAAAAAGCAGGCATGTTGATGTTTATTCTTTTAACCGGAAGAAAATACAAAGGCAGTGTTACTATTGGCAGTAGATTTGATAAAACCACACTTTTAGTTATTCTGAGGGTAAGATTAAGTTAATGTGCTATAATTCAACTTAAAACATGGACAAATCTCAAATATGATGCACAGCTAATACATGAAACAGTATTGCAGGATGGTATTAACAAAGGCAGTGTTAGAAGAAATATTTCTCATTTCAGAACTGATAACCACTGACCCAGGATTTCTTTTACCAGGATGACCTACCTAAGAGTTCATTATGAGACCACAAAGCATAATATGAAGCATAATTTGAAATCACGGTTTGATCCTGTCTTACAAACCCCAACTTGTTTTAACCATGGCTTGTTATATATGAATTCTGGGTTTATGTGTTTCACCCAAGCCTCTTGCCAGTCCATAGAGATGCAGGACAATAACAAGTGAAAATGGTGGAAGAAATAATCAAAGAATTTCTTGAACAAGCCATGAGCCAGAGGTATCCACAAAACTAACTTGGATTCATTCCAAATTTTGACCAAAACAAATCCTGTCTTACTATCAGCTGTTGTTTCTTGTTCCTAACAAATTCATGATCATGGTTTATTTCTAAACTCCAGATGGGGGATCACTGCAGATGTATATTGCACTTGGCCTTATTCTCCGTTTTGTCCGTCCAGGCACTTTAGGAAAGATTTTAAATGTTTTTGGCATGAACTCCAGACAGGCCTCACGGAATTTCTTGATTCTCCAGCAGTAGATGATGGGGTTGAAAACTGACTTGAGGTAACTCAGCCACAGCATGTAAGTGCTGATGATATAGAAAGAGGGGCTGTAATAGAACCGTCGGCTGAAGACAGACATCAGGCTGAAGACCGTGTGTGGAAGCCAGCATACGGAAAAACCAACAAACAGAATAAAGATTGTAGTGAAAGCCCTAGTTTTGAAGCTCATGTCCACATTAATTTGGTGAGGCTTTTGCAGTCCTACCAGGTTTAACCTGCTCACCTGGCTGAGGCAGATGTTCTCTGTATGGTTGTGGATCCGGACTGTGTTCCGACGGACAGTGTTCAGGATGCAAAGGTACGAATACAACATAATGCCAAAAGGGACGAAAAAAGTGGCCACAAGCAGCGTCACTGCATAAGCTCGGTCTGCAGGGAACTCGGTGTACCCAAGGACACACTGGGGAGCCCGGGTTGGCACTTCCACAAATGTCCACCCAACAACGGAAGGGAAGGAGACGCAGAATGAGAAGACCCATGAAACAGCTATCATGACTTTGGCACGGTGAGGGTTCAGCTTGTCTTGGTGCTGGACGATGATGAGGAATCGGTCCACACTAATGATTGAGAGTATTGAGACTCCTTCCAAGACAAAGAACCAGTAAAGCATGGCAGATATGCGGCAGAAGTGAGCTCCAAAATTCCACCTTACTGTAATAATGGTGACTGCGGTAAATGGCATGCAGACCAAAGACAACATAATGTCAGAGAAAGCCAGCGTAGCTAACAGCAGATTTATTGCTGAACGCATGGCTGGCTTCTGGTAAACAATCAAGCAAACAATGGTGTTGCCTAAGAATCCAATGGCAATCATGAGGAGCATTACTGTAGCCATTAATATCCTGAGTGAGACTGGCAAGGATGTGGAACCAGAGGCGGTGAACTGGGTACTCGTATTAAAGGCAAAGAACATGTCTGTAGGTGTCTTGTTCCATGCCATTCCAGGACAAAATACTGGCAAGGCCACCAGGATCTTCCTGCTAACCATTCAGCTGCTGCCATTTTTCCATTGTATTTGCCACCCAACTCTAGACAACAATGGGTCCACCTCAGGGGGTCTGTAGAACAGATTTTCAGCGGTCATTGACAAATCAGAGCATGGTGTTGTACAAGCTCCTGCATTTCTGAACAGAGACAACAAGGAAGCCACTGCCAAGGACTTTTCTCCAGGGGCTCAGATCTAGAAAACTGGATAAAAATATTCAAGAAATAGTTGAAATTTAAGAAAATAAAGGTGGCAAGCTGTTGAGGGCCAATATTTTACTTTGAAGCGTGCCCCCATCCCCCAATAAGATAAAGTAAAAAAGCATAAGCATCAATATTGCACTTCATAAATACAAAAGACCATGTGTGCGGGATTGGAAGACCCCCATAGGTGCTATGTAACCTTTCCCTACACTTAGTGTATACCTTGATTTTGGATCACACTTAGTTGAAAGGTGTCTTAACTTCTGAAATAGCATCTTGAGCTCACACAAAAGCTCCAACCAGTCCTACCCTATCTCTATAGTCAAATGAGAGAACAATGATTAGAAGTTTCACCATTGCTAGTAAAGTCCCAAAGGGAGTTGGTTGCCTAAATCTAGTGCCATTTTCTTGCACTCTTCCTACCCGCCCCACAACCAATCTGCTCTGGTTCCCCCTTCTGATTTCATGCAGCATGAAGCTACAATCTCAGGGAGACCACTGTATTCACATCCTAATCTCTTCACACAGAATGACAAGGTTCATTTGATGGTGGGTTAGATGCTGTTGTCTCAGGCTTGACTTTGTAGCTGGTTTGGGGGGGAAAATCCATTATTTCAGAAGATCTGTGAAGGATTTAAACAACCGCCCTTTAAAATGATCTTGAGTAATACGCATCAATAGAAAACTTCATCACAAATGCAGATGATCCAAAAACACTGCTCTTTGACATTTCATCTGCTCATTTTAGAACTGCAGCAAGCCATAACCAATGCATTATTATGCCTGGCTTGGCAGCTTACCAGAAGATTGTGGTTAAGACCATCAAAGCATCCTTGTATTCCCATAGCATTACTCTCCCAGGGTGCAATGAACTAGGTAATAAAGATGAAGGACCTTGGTTTACCCAATAACCATTTGCTTGGATTACATTTTTTTCATCCTTTCTGCCTTGATTCCATAATCAGTAAACCAGAAAGATTTGCTCTGGGTGTGTATATGTGTGTGTGTGTAGTTTTTTCAATACCAAGCCTTTCAGTTGTTTGGGACTACAAACCCAAAATACCCAACTGGCCCACAGGGAATTCTAGCCCCAGTAAACAACCCTCTGAAACAGAAGAAAAACTACTCAGTCTGTTCTAACATGATTGGCTTTGATCCAAATCAAAACTAGTTAAATAAATAGTGTTAGAACCCCACAGTTAAAAAAACCTCTCTTAATATTTTCTAGTTGCTAGACTTTAGCATGAAAGACCACCTTGGGAACATGGTAATAAATGGGAAAGTTCTCTGCTTCCACCTTATTTTTATCTGGAGGATAAATGTAGGTTTATCTATCCACCAGGTCTTTAGAAAATGGAAGAGCAACACTAAGGGAATTTCTATCTCTTGAGAGTAAACTTACATCTTTTTCAGAAAGGCTGATTTTCAACAGCAAAAAAAGAGAGAAAATACAGGATGATACTTGGGGCTTCTCG